GTCCAAGCAAACACTCCTCGGCTCCAATTTCCTACATAATAAGAGTCCTTGCCGGTGGAAGCTGAAGGTCTTTTGCAGGAAACCACCACATGGTCCAAGGTCAAGGTCCCATGGTGGGGGACCGTTGTCTTCATTCTTGGCTCGTGCTTCTTGCTGTCCCCTTCTTCCTACAGTGCAGGGGCAAGTGTGGCAATGAAAGGTGTAAGTCATTATTCTGAAGGTACAGATGGTCAGCGTGTGGCTTCCCAGGCCTCCCTCTGAGGTCCCTATGACTCCCATTTGGGAGACAGTGCAGGGGCTGCTTGGCTGTCCTCATCAATTCCTTTCTTCACCTGCCCCATGCTTTATGCTGGGTGTCCTTGGGGTCTGTGTCTCCACCCTCTAGCTATAGCTTTCCAATTAGCACTCCACTGGCTTTCCCCACGTCAGTGTAAGCCCTCATTTCCATACTAAATCCCTTATTCCTGTAATGGCTCTAAATGATCCCAGCAGATACACCAGCAAGCACACATATCGGTTTCATAAAGAGCCACTTAGTAGATCTACGCCAAGCCAGCAAGTGGGGTCAGGACCTTCACATCAGTCACTTCCTGCCAACTGATTCCAATGAGAGGGATGATTGTTAAGCAGTTTATTTTTCACTTTCAAAGAAGCGACACCATCTTGTCTTTCTATAATCTCTGCAATTTGTTTGCCTGTTGGAGCAAGGCATCTGTTTCTTCTCTCCGAACTGAAGGTGCCACCATCCATAAACAGAATCTGTGGTCCTGTACCTAGCAAGTTGTCAGGCATGTCCACAAGCTTTTAGTTGATTTACAGGCTGCTATACCAGGAACACACTTCCAAGATTATAGTCTGGCTCAAGTTCCCTTGCAAGAGGCATATATCATGCAAGGCCCCCAGATGGACATTTTTCTGGGTCCCCTGCGATCCCTCAGTCCGGATCTGCACATTCTAAAGTGTTATTCTGATTTCAGAATATTCCTAAAGCTGACTCATCTGACTCATAGATCATGATAACATTGATGCAGGTCAGATATCCACACTGCATTTTGTGAATACACTTCCTAGCGCACCTTCCCAAGTTCCTGCATACTGCTTTGGTGTAGGAATTGCTCAAAATCATTTGAACGGGAAATTGGCCAGAAGGCACTGATACCTTTCGCTTCAGGAGGCTTGGTATGGCCATAGCTGAAGTCCCAAAGACATCAAGATTTTAAGTAGATGTGGCTCTTAATGGGGCAGGATGCTCTAGATATTCACAGAAGGGACAGGGGAGAGTAAGACTGGGACTGGGACTGGGACTCTGGACTGGGAGTGTGACAGCTGGAGCAGAGAATGAGAGAAGGAAGACTAGTGGAAGAAGAGGTTAGACTGGTCATGGAGGAGGGAGATGCCATAAGGTCCAGAAGACCATCATTTTGACTTTTACCCTGAGTGAGCTGAACTTTATTCAAAGATTCTCAGAATAGACTGAAGGGAGGCTGTCTAGAGAAGAGATGACGAGTGTATGTGGGGTCGGGAAATTCTTTCCACTGGGGCCACATTTGCACCTGACATAAAAATTTTCACTGGGTCCTAGACTCTGCGTCTGACTAGATAGGATGGTTGGGCATCTCCTTCCAAGGAGGGAGTGAGCATAATCCATGTGTAAGATGATGAATGCAAACATATGTTTAGTAAGTGGGGCCAAGCTTTTCTGGGTCTTCTAAGACACACAGCTAATCAGCCTCTGTCACAAGCCAGTGTGACTATGGGACTGCCCAGGATTGGGGAATGCAACATGAGTAGAAGTATCTGTGCTATTTCTAGGTCCAGCCCACAAGTGCTGCCCATGTGCTCCTTTGTGCATGTGCCTTCTTCCCTGCGGGCTTACTGGGATGGCCCACCAGGGTGAAACGCATGGAAGTCAAATACAGGCGCATGTTGGAAATTTAAATAAAAGTGCATTCCCCAGTATCACATCCCTGACTCCCATGGTCATGCCTTTACACTCGAAATCTGATGAGCATTCAGTTCTTCAGCTACTATGCCATGAGCTGTTCCACAATTTCCAAGGGGTGATTCTCTAGACACTGATGCATCCTAGCTCTCAGGTGTAGGAGTAAAGGAATAACTACGCAAAATGTAGTTAGCAATGGACATTATTGAGTCTATATCTTGGGAACAGATCTCTGATCAAGCAGTTTCAAATATCTGCAAGTTGGGGCACCTCTTGTGGAATGGTTACCCCATTTCAGCACTTTCAGTAGCTTGGGGACAGCGAGGCCATGTTATTTCAGGTATCTTCAGAATAGAATTCCTACTATATGGCTTTATTCATGTTTGTGTGACTGATTTCAGATGACTGTATCATAAAAGCTCACCTGACTCGAGTTCAATATGCATGCAACTTGACACTGACCTCGTTTCTTAGGTTTAGAGAAAGGCTGTTAAGTGCCCTGAACTGTTTACTCTGACACTACCTGTTCCTTTCAAAACATTTCATGCCACACCTATATTGCCTAAAGCTTATAGATGCATGCTGTTTCCTTATATGTATATGAAGAATTGTGCCAGCCGGTTATGGGTCCCTTTCCTTGGCAAGACTCTATGGTACCTCTGTTGATACTTTGTCTAACTGTCCCTTTCCTAGTCCATGTAATTCAGGTGGCGCTGCCAATCAAGGGGTTGAGTCCAGTGCACATAAAGTTTATATGCCCAAGGATAGCCAACTGCAAATCAATTTGAAGTTGCTATAATTTCTAGGAGTGTCTGTCTTCTGAGGTTATTAACCTGGATCATCTGGCACCATGTTCTCCAGGAAGGGTAAATGAAAACAGGACTGAGAAACTGGTAAGGAAGAAAAAGGTTCCTAATGTTTAGCTCCAGCCCTGTTTGATACAGTTCCATACTGTTTTGGTTACTTTTCTCTCTCATTGCTGGGATAAAATACCCGACACCCAGAATTAAGGAAGGAAAGGTTTCTTTAGCTCACAGTTTGTGGAGGTTTCAGTCCATACTTGGCTGGTTCCAAGGCAGAGTACAAGGCAGAAGGCAACAGTTCACGGTGGCGGAAGACAGCAAAGGCAACAAGAGCAAAAATGGAGGAGCAGCAGAGCGCAAGCCTCTTCCTCTCTTATATTGTATGCAGGCTTCCCACTCCAGGGCGGGTGTAACACTCACACCCATAATCCCAGCACTGGACCATGGATTAATCCTAAACTCCAGAAGCTGCCCATGACTGCATGAGGCTTTGGGGGACACCCAGACACAAACCATGACACTTACTTGGTTGCATTATGCAACTCACCTTCTGAAACTGAACTCCTACTGGTTAGCTCTTTATTACTTATAACTAGGAGTTCTAATTGCTGTCCAGTTTAATTATAGGATGTCAAAGGGAATCAGGATATTTTCCCATTGACCATTCTCCTGGGGGGTCTCACTAGCTGCATATCTTTTCCTTATGCATATGCATTATGCCTTTGTTATAGCCCTCTCAATCTTTCTCATTCAGTTTACTCTCTGAATCTACCGCCTCACGTGTAGTTGCAGGCTAACTGGAGAAGATGAACAAATCTCCCAGGTTTCTAATGGGCTTTCCCTAAAAGACCGAGGTCTGAGTTTCTGACCTTGAAAATCTCCCAGTGACAGCAGTTTTACCTCCTACCCCTACCCCTGTTGGTTTTTTCAGAGGGGGGCCTTGTTATGTTGCCCAGGCTGATCTTCAACCTGTGATCCTCCCACTTTAGCCTCCCAGGAAGCTGAGCTTCTTACTGGGATCTCCATGTTCAACTAACGGTTTAGGGTGCATTAGGAAATCCTCTATTCATCTTAATCCAGCAGTTTCTTATTCACTGGTAAAAAACAAATAGGGCTCATTTCAATTGGCCTTGAATTGTATGCTTTCTGAGTTGTATTTTATTTTTGGGTGAGTGCCATTTCAATGTGCCATTTCATGGGTTCTGATACCCCAAACCCTTAACACCACTGTTTTCATTCTACAGAGCCTTTAGCTTTAGATTTATGGGCCCAGTATGATGATGATCGTTGAGATCAAGGGTTGACAAACCCACAGGGTACATCCAGTCAGCTGTCTATTTTTGTAAATTGTTTAACTGAAACACAGCCATACCCATGTATCTATGTATGGTCTATGGGTCCTCTTGCAGTTGTTACAGACCATATGGCCCCAAAGCCAAAAATACTACCTGGCCCTTTATAGAAACACTGGCAAACCCTGTTCTATGTTAGTTTTATAACTGTACCCTGAGGGATGAAGGAATGATTATTTGAACAAACCTTTGGGGCACACTGCTTGGGCAGGTCTATTCTAGATCACTTGGGGAAGGACATGACATGGCAGGTATTTGGGATACCCCTGTGCTATAGCTCCGTTTTCTTTTTGAGAGACCTGGAAACAATATATGTTCGAGATCTTGGTTCTGTAGGTGTTAAATTTGCATTTCCATGTGGACTCAGTTTTGCCCAAGGCTAGAGGTACTCTTTCTGCGCATGGGTGGTAGTGTTGGAATCCTACAGGGCAGTCTGACTTCCCCACAGCTGTTCCTCAGGCATCCAAACGGGGCTCCAAACTACAAGGAACCATCAAGATGTTCCCGTTGTTTCCCATGGTTCAGTCTGAGCCACTTGTGGTTTGGAATTAATTATAAGAGGTACAGTGTGCTTCTAAAGATGTGGCCAGACTCTGCAGCAGTTATCACAGCCATTTGCCCCTTTCCTCTCCCAAGAAGCTATGGCACAGTCACACCCACCTTTCAGACTGACTTTCCGGGCCCATGACACTTCCTGGTCTCCACAACTTCACCGCTGTGTTTCAACCATCTCAGCCGTCGAATCCTACACACCCATCACATTTTGAGTTCCCGTCAATACATTCTTTCCTTTTCTCTACTAACTATGGCCTAAGTTCATAGTAGAATCCATGCTAGAAGTGGCTGTGCACTCTTTAGATTGCCACAAGGCAGAGAAGTGAGTCAAGAACCATTCAACCAACAGAAAGAATGAAACCGCAAGTTTATTTAAAAGTACAAAAACTTTAAAAAAACACACAGAGAAACAAAACCAAGCCTAACCAAACAACAAAAAGCAGCCGCACACAATCTTTCCAGTTTGCATTACTTCAAACATCACACACGGTTAACCATTTAGTTACATTTTTAAAAAAATGTCAGTTTTAAGGTTGAGTGAGGCAATAAGCTAACGATCACAGTGTCACTATCTTAATGCTAAAGTAAAATGCTGACCTCATCTGAGAGTGAAGCACAGACTACATTCTGGTTGGTGTAGATTTAGGCAATGTATATATATATAAAAATCCTAGTTGGAATGAGTTAAAAAATATTATTGGGCACTTATTTGACATTTTAAGTAGGGGGAGCCCAAAAATCCTGCAGTTTTGGTGTCCTATTTATGCTTTTTTTAAAAAATCCATTAAAAATCATATCCATAATAAAATGTCCCTTGTTTGTTTGTTAAAAAAATTAATAGGCTTCTCTTATCTCCTAAAACCGTTTGTTTTTCCTAAGATGCCTGGAAGCAGAAAAGCCGTGAGATTAACTCACTGCACAATTAATTAAAATTAGAATCCTTTCCTCTAAACAATTTCTAGAGCACCAGGAAGAAGTGGGCAGCCATCAAAGGGAGCAATAAAGCCACACCGACTCAGAGGAGATGATATGTGTGACCAGAAACGCTCTGTCTGCTACCCAAGTTCTTTATCGGATTACTCAGAAAATAACTCGAGTGCTATTTTGAAACTGAAAGACACAAGCAGCTAGGTTCCTTTACCTAAAACAAAAACAAACAAACAAACAAACAAAAAACCTAAGTGGCCAGTCCTGTTACTTACTTTGGATTTGGCTTAAAAAAAAAAAAAAAAAAGGAAAAGTCTATAGAGCAGGATCACAGAAGGTGACCTCATTCCCCACTGCAGCAGGCTTTGTTCTAATTAGCCTTAAACACGTTACTGAACATTTCTTGGGCTATAGGAAGAAGCCCTGAGTGTGTGACAGCTGGGTCAAGGTGGCTCCACTTGGTTCCAGCTTTGTCCTTTCGTAGTTTTCTTGCTGAACAATGCCCAAGTTTTTACCCAGCGTTCCTGTGGGGTGGGCCCTGTGGCTGGCCAAGCAGATAGAACGAGGAGAACTGGCACAAAAACAGAGACTGAACCGAGGGAGGCAACTCCACTTCTGCATCCTTTGGGAACTGGATAAATAATAACCTCCAAGTGCAACAAAGCAGCAGGTTAGTCTTGGGGCGGGGGCTTACGGGGCTGGACGAGGCCAAGGCTGGATCTCCTTTTGCATCTTTCTTTGGACTATGCTAAAGGAAAAACAAACACAACGGAGACAGCTTTCCTATACACATATAAATAGTCCCTTAACTAGAAGGGAAAAAAAACCAAACACACCATTTCAAATGCATTTCTAAGAGATTTAAAAAAAAACCAAAAAAACCCAAGTGGAAAATCTTGACTCCAAACAATCTTGTTGCCCATGTTGCTCGAAGAAGACGGCTCTCTACTCTGCCTCCGACCTGCCAGGATGTTAGGTGAGGGTTGACCCTAACTTTAACACTAACGCTAACTCAGGGTGCCGTCCTGGGACTCTGGCAAGAGGAGTGTGTGTGGAGCGGGAAGCCAGGAGCTCTCACGGGGAGTACACGGCTCCCACGTGTCTCAGAGGCCAAGGTCCTCAAGTCCAAATGCAAGGGTCAAACACACTCCCGGGGGTGCAGGGCACTTGGGAGCCTCCTGCTGAAGCTGAACGTGAAGGTTGGTGGGTTGGGCGTGGCTTCCTGGGGCAGAGGCCGGATCAGCTTTTTGGCCAACTCATCTTAGGTCTTCATCCTTCAGGTATGGCAGTTCAGCCAGGAGGGTGACAATCCAGAAGCTAGGGAAGGGACAGCAGGGCAAGGCAGGCCAGGCTCGGGCAGCCTTCATGTTAGAAGCTGAGAACTCAGATAAACTCAGGGCAGGACCCTGCTGCTGCCTATTCTGAGATGAGGCAATGCTCTACACTGCCAGAAAATCCTCTCCAAATGAGGGTTCTTGGGCAAATTTCCCAAAGCCAACATCTATCCAGGACAGTTTCTGAGTCCTTCATGAAACCAAAACGACACTGGTGCTCGCTGAAGGGCATCACTCACGTCAAAAGTTTCCTTTGGCCACTGTCTTTGTTAAAGTGACAGCAACATGTAGGGTAACACAAGGTGGGTTTTGAGGTTCATACCCGGGTGCTCTTCAGGGTGCCATGCATGGATGGTCTCCTGGTAGACACCTGACCCATGTCCCCACATAAAGCAATAAGGCGGCAGCTTCCGAGAGAATCTGGTCCGGTGTCTTCTGCCCTTCTGGACATGCAACATGGAACAGAAGCGCTGCTTTGTGAGGACTACTTAAATACTGTTTCATCTGCTGCCTGCAAATGCATGACGCCTACTCAGAGGGATTCCAACCGTAACAGAACGAAGGGAAGCATGAGGTTGTGACTGTGGGCCCCCAAGGAAAAGTGACCTCACAGAAAAGATGTCAACCAAGAAGCCAGAAAAACACAGGTCACCCTCTAAAGACCATCTCAGGGAGGAGGGGAACAGAGCGACAGAGAGGCAGCTGACCCCCCAACCTCAGCTTGAGACCCCCCCTTCAAGGAACTTAAAAGTGAGTCCCATGGGCACCAGTTGTTAAGAGTAACAAGTTGGAGCAGACAGACCCATCTGGACTTTGGAACAGCTGGATTTCATACTTCTTCCATGCCCGGGCTGGGCGCAGAGTCCCTGGGTGGAGCAGTGCCTTCCAGAGGGCCAGGGTGTCCTGGGCTGTGGCTGGTGTCTTCCGTACTCTGGAGGCTGCTGGCTGCCCGAGAGCTGGCGCTGTCCACACTCCCTGACCGAGAGCGGTATGGGGGCAGGTCGGCTTGGTTCAGAGACTCGGTGTCTGAAGAATAGGGTGGTGGAGGAAGGTCGTACCATGCGGGTCTGCAGTGGAAAAAGCAGGTCAGGGCACAGGGGCATCAGAGAGAGGTAGGGGAAGAAAACACACTGAACCAAGCCAAGCCTGGCAATGTGGATCCAGCACCAAAATAGGGGGTATAGGTGAACCTACTTCAAGCTAGGAATGAGGTTTTCCCTCCAAGTACAAAGGCAATGTAAAGGCCAGGAAAAGCAGGGGTTGGAAACAAGGCAAAGAGAACAGGAAGGTTAGTGCATTCTCGCTGATTCATATCCACCGGGCACTGCCAAATCCACATCTTCTGGGTGGACCCAGAGTGAGGTTGCCACGCAGTGCCCTCAGCTCAGTGTGTGTGGTCTTCTCCGCTCCCTCGACTCAAAGCACTGTGATGGAGGAGCTGGGCCGGCTTCTTGAGGGACCCTTTGACGGGGCCACAGAATTCTGGGCTCTCACTAAAGCCAACTTTTGCTGCACACTGGGGGGAAGACAGGGCACATCCTCTCATCACCTCGGCTCCTCATCTGTACCTCACTTGAAATGGAGCCATTTAACAGAAAAGACAGCTTATTTTTTAGTTCCGATTATTGAAGGCTTGTTGTGAGTCGGGCACTGTGCCGTGTACCTCCTGTTTGTCACAGCTTTAATGCTCACAAGAATATTGTGAACACAGGGTGACGTTTATGCCCACTGTACTGGTGGGGCTGCGTGAGGCACAGCGAGGTTGCACGGCTTGCCTGTGATCTCAGACAACAGCTGTAGTCAGCAGCAACGTCAGGATCGGAACCCAGGCATCCCACCGCCAGACTCAGCCTCTTTACCTTCCCTCTCCACTGGGTGGTCCCAACGAAGGGGTGGTGAGTGAGAACTTTACTAGGTGAGGAAGGGTCTGCATTCTCACTTGCAGGCTCGGCCTCCACCCCCTGAAGTTTTGGTTGCCTTCTATCAGGAGGAAATTGCAGATGAAGCAATACGAGACTGCCAGGTGTGGTGGTGCACGCCTGTCATCTTGGCACTCTGGCAGGCTGAGGTTGGAGAAGTTCAACATCGGCCTGGTCAATTTCAGGGATTTAGTCTCAAAACTTAAAAAAAAAAAAAATTAAAAAGGACTGGGGAAATGGCTTAGTATGAAGGCCTTGGGTTCAATCCCCAGTACTACCATACTAAGAAAAAAAAAGAAAAAACAAGAATACACTACCAGAGCTGCCACTGGAGAAGGTACAAGGGACAAGAAAAAGCCCAGCCCTACTGGAAACACAACTGCAAAGTGCCTAATGAGACGCACAGTGAGGCCCGAGCTCAGGGCAAGAGAGACGCCGAGCAGGGCCTGAAGGGCAGGGCATGGGACTATCAGACTCCATAGGAGCTCAGACAACTGTAGTCCAGGGCCTTCCCAAGTGAGCTGTCTGCGTGACGCGGAGGTCACAGAGACAGGGGTGGGGAAGGGAGGGCGAGCAGGCATGATTGGGATCTGCCACTCACTTCGTCTACAGAGCTCTACTTTTTGGCTTTTTGGTTCCTTGCAACGCCACGTGTAATGAGGGTCACACTCCTCTATAAAGCTTGGCATGCTCTGTTACACCCCTTTATTTTATAAAGTTAAGGAACTTATTTATTCACTCATTCACTTGCCCACTTGTCAACAAATATTAATAAAACCAACGAAACCCTAACCACGTGTTGTGCTCTGTTCTGTGGAAGCAGGTGAACCCAGAGCTGGCTGGTGGCTTGGACATGTGCCACTGTGGCATTGCTAAGGAACAGCAGGCTCCATGGTAGCTGGGTCCTAATGGCGTGGCCTCAGAAAAGTTAAAACCCCTGGGCCTCAGTCTCCTTCTCTGGAAAATAGAGGCAAATCTAGAACCTCCCTCCGTGACCACTGAGAGGATTAAATGAGATGATACCGTGGAGGGTTCTGCAAAGTCTCAGTGAATGTCAGTCACTGCTTCTGTGTACTATCATGGCACCAGGCCCTTGGCCAGGCCAGGAACCTACCACCCCATTAGATGCCCGCTTTACCCCCAGTCTCTTCCACCCAGCACGCACCTCTGATCCAGCAGGGCCTCTGAGTAGGAGGGTGGGGAGCCTACTTCCGAGGCATTCTGCTCCGCCTGGCTGGCCACGTACTGGATGCCGTTGTTGACGTTGTAGGTGACGTTGCAGTGGTGGGGATGGTCCAGGACCACCAGGCGGGACAGGAGCACAGGATGCTGCAGCCGGTGCACAGGCAGCGTCATGAGGTTGTTCCGCTTCCGCTGGTGATGTAAGACCAGGGCCAGCAGGGCCACCACCAGGACGAAGATGACGGAGCTGCCGATGATAGCGTAGGTGATACTGGGGTAGTACACGAGCTGGTTCTCCGAGGTCACAAACACCTGTCCGCTGCCTGGTTCTGAGAAACCCAGGAGAGGAGAGACAAGGCCAGAGACTTAAAATCAGCTCCCCTTTGTCTTTTCAAGTCAGCCCTAGGATGTGCATGCAAATGATCACGGTGGCATTCTTCCCAAGGGCCCAATGTGGAACCACCCAATGATCCATGCACTGGTGAATGGGTACACAAAATTCTATACACAGTGAAATACTATTCAGACAAAACCATCATAAATACTGAGGTACGCTACAACAAAAATGAGCTTCAAAGACATTATGCAGTAGAGTAAGTCAGGCCTGAAAGATCACTGTATGCTTCCATGGATAAGAAATGTCCAGAGACAGGAAGTACGGCGGCTTCCTGGGGTTGAGACAGGAAATGAGGATTAACTGCAGACAGGCTTGAAGGATCTTGTTAGGGTGACGGGAATGTTCTAAAACTGCACTGTAGTGGTGGCTGCACAAATCAGGAAGTTTACTAAAATTCACTGCATTGTTCACTGAAGATGGGTGAATTTTACGCTGTGTGGATGAGACCCCAACAAAGTTGTTTAAGAAGATGGCCCTAGGAAATGTAATAGTCCTTGTGGCAGAAATCAATTTTACACTGGAAATTGATAACACAGCACAAATGAGGGACACGGCAGGTGTGTCTAGGGCTCCTTCTGTCCGCAGAGTTTATTTTATACCAGGCCCCAGGTCCAGGCTTTCAGGTTGAGGGTCTGCACAATGCGGGCTAATGGCACAGGCTCTGGAGTCACACTTACTCGCTGTGGGCCCTCGGGAAAGTGCTACTTGCTCTGTGCTGCAAAGCGATAGAAGCTCTCCAGCTTGTGGGGTGTGAAACAAACCACCAATTGTCACACACACAGTTCCATGTAAGTGAGTGTTCCACATCCATCAATATGAGCCTTATCACACCTTCTAACAACTCTGTGAAGTAGGCTCCCCCACCCTGGTGTTGGAGATTGGAGATTGAACCCAGGACCTTTGCACTGAGCAACATCCCCAGGTCTTTATTATTATTATTATTATTATTATTACTATTTGAGACAGGTAGGTCTTGCTAAGTCACTCAGTTGCCCAGGCGAGGCTTGAACTTGTGATCCTACTGCCCCAACCTCCCAGAGTGCAAGGGTTATAGTCATTACTATGACGCCTAGCAGTAAATGCTCTTTGTAGAATGAGCAAAGTGAAGCTTGGGGGAACTGAGTCCCCTTCCAATGTGAGTTGTGTGGGATTTGAACCTTGCTCCTAACACTCTGTCCTGCAGCAGCTGTCCGACAAGACCCTCTAGGAATCTGCAGGCACTTCTGCAGGCACTTCCTCCGTGGTCAACATCCTCCTCTCCACGTGTGCTGATGGGGCACACGTCACATGATCAGGTAACAAGCTTCCTGGCCAGCAGGTTACACCTGGTAACCCTGGGAAGGTCCAAGCAAGCACAGAAAACCTCAATGTCCGCTCCTCACAGAAAGCAGGGACCCATCTGTGCAGAAAAACCAAAACCACCGCTGCTGGGGGCCAGCTAGAGGAACAATCTTAGCCCCAGGGAGCAACTGCAAAGCAGGGAGGAGGTTTCTGTGGGTACCCAGGGGTCACAATGAGGACCTGAAGCAGCAGCAGCAGCAGCAGCAGCAGCAGCAGCAGTAGCAGCAGCAGCAGTGCCAGGGGCTTCACTCCATCCCTCCTCTTAATTCCTGTATTCCCAGGGTGCAGAACGATGCCTGGCATTCCACAGGCATACAACAGATGCACAACTCAAAGGGGGAAATCTATCTATCCACACACCCTGATAGAGTAGCTTATTATTATGCTCTTTTTCAGATGAACAAATTGGCTCAAAGAGGTGAGTTAATTTGATTGGGATCACACAAGAAGTAGCAGACAAGGCTGGAACCCAGATATTACTCCTTCGAATTCTGCATTCTGCAAAACAACCTATTGTCTCTCCTCCCCCAAAAGAAACATTTCCCGATTCCCCAAATAATCCTAATCTGAAACAAATAAAGATCTTCACCCTCAAACTCCTCTTTCTCTCTGTATTAATTTTTCTTTCTATCCACACTCACTGTAGACTAAAAGCCTCAAAGATTCTCCAAGTTCCTGGTGGCCATCATATCAACGTGGGTGCGCAATTTCATTGCGCAGAAAGAAACGAATGCAGTCCCAGCTGATAGGCAGGAGCAGGGTGCTGTGCAGTTCAGGAAGGGAGGCGACTTGGATTTTTCTGGAGACAATTATCTGTTACTCTCTTCTCAGCTTAGATAATTAAAAGTTGGAGCTGGGTACATGGAGCTGGGTGTGATGGTACATGTCTAATCCCAGCACTCTGGAAAGCTGAAGTAGGAAAATTTGAGCCCATCCTGGGCAATTTAGCCATTTAGTGAGTCTGTCTCAAAATAACAAAGTGCTCAGGACAAAGACTTTGGGTTTAATCCCCAGTATAGGGAAAAAAAAAAGTTGCATATGTGTGTGTGTGTATGAATTCAGGCTTAAAATAAAATATTCTCCTTTATTTGTTATCTCCTACATAGAGCTAAAAAGTCACAGAGCCTTGGGGTTGAAGACTGGAACCAGCATTTCTATGTGTTTGAGTGAAGCAAGTGATTTAACTTTCCTAAGGCGCAGTGCCCTATCGTTAAAATGATGGCGGTGCTAGGTAAATTCAGCACCATCTTCCTGCGGAATGGGCAGGGGACTCTACATACACAAGTGTCTGACAAGGGTTTGCACTCAGGAATGCTAGGGTTTTTTTTTATAAAAAATATTATTTATAAAATAATGAGGATGATGAAAAATACCCATCATAAACACCGTTTTCAAGTGTACGGCTCAGCGGCATTAAGCTCATTCACAACACCGGGCAACCATCGCCGCCATCCATCGCTTCAGGATTCTCAGTGCCTGAGACTGCCCAGTGTGATTCTTGGTGTTCACACCCCTCAAGTTATTCTCACCGGCTTCTTGGGACAGCAATAGCAAGTGGGAGAGCCGCCCTGTGCGGTGGATTTCCATATCAAAGACAAATTGGCCCAGAGATTTTAGAACACTGACTTCTATGCAACCATTTATTGGTGGTATTAACAATACAAGTGGGAACCCTTTGAAATAAATGCCAAGTAAAATGCTTCTGGATCTTAAGGACCTCACTTCCGTCTCTGAAAGCAGACTCACTCCAGACCTGCCCACTTTGGCAGGCAAAAAGCAGCGATCACTTTTGCTCCAGAAATTACGATGTTGCATTATTCAGCGGTGCCTGGTCTTGATTTTGCTCTGTGCGGAAAATGTCATCTTGTATTAATTCATTAACTGAGCTCACTTTTCTTAAAAGCTTAATGAGCCTACTGGCCAAATTGCTAATACCAGAGCTGCTTGGGACGTAAGTGGCAAGAGCATAATCCACAGATAATGAAGTTTCCATTTATTCTGGCTGTCCCTCAAGCTTAAGGTCTTCCCGCTCCGCTGTTAAACATCTTGAATTGCTGTCCTGTATCAGCTCTTCTGCTGCGCTCATTCCAGGCTGTCTGTTGCCACCCATAGTTCTCTCAAAACGGCTGCTGCCTGAGCCACATGGGGTGACACAGGCTGGGTTTTACACACTCGCACGTGCTCTTTACCTCCAAGCCGTCACATGGTTGTGGCCTGACCACGATGGTTTTCTAGCAGTTGGCAGCTAAGTCATGACTGCATACCTGTTGCTGATGCACCTAGCAGTGCTGTCCGGACTGGTGGAGGGACCAACACAGCCGACACTTGGGACTTGGGCTCTTTTCCTTCTACACATTCCTTCCTCCAGAGACAAACTACATTTCCTTTGGAATACTATTATCATTACTATTATTATTATTATCTATCAGATTAGAAAAGAACATCTTGATCTCACAGGTCATTGGCCAGGTCTTAGGAAAGCAGGTAAATTCATACACAGCGTGTATGCAGTATGAAAGCAGGTAAATTCACACACAGCGGGTATGCAGTATGATCAAAAAATGTGAATGCTTAATTTCTTAAATGTAGTACAGTAAAAGAAACACTGCCATTAATCTCCCTCATAACACATGGCTTCCCTTCACACACAATGACCATTGTTCTTGCTGTTTTTGGAAGTAGTCCTGGACATCCTTTTTCATGTCTTTAGTTGCAGGGCTATGGCTCAGTTGATGTCCTAGATGTATTCTATGCATTTACCTTTCATGATCATTTTGACTTTGCAGAAGAGCCAGAAGTCACACAGTGCCAGGTCTGGCAAATAAGACGGTTAATGATGCACTATCACTTTTTGTTTTTTATCAGAAATTGCTATCAATGTTTTGAATCAATTCAGGACATCAAGGCTGCCCCAAGAAGACACCCATGAAAGAGGACTTGCAAACTTAAATGTGTTCAAAGTCAGGGAGACTGTTTACGAGGAGGGGTCAATAGAAATGTATTTTTTACTATAATGAAAACAATTTCAAATTCTATTTAAACATTCACTGTAGGTTCTGATCACTCTTCACAGCTGGTGGGAGGGTAAACTGGTACAAACCCAGGGGCACAACGGGGAACAATGTACAGTCTGTGTCGCATATGGACGGGTTCCACATTCCTGGTCTGCAGCTCTGTATCCAAGCAACTGCCAGATCAAATGCATTTGGAAAAAAAAATTTTTTTCCTGTACTGAACAAGTAAAGACTTTTCTTCTGGTTATTATTCTCTACACAATACAGTATAACAACCAGTTACATAGCATTAACAGTGCATTGGGAATTACAAGTCATTTGGGGATGGTATCAAGTGGACAGGCAGATGTACATACAACACTGTTTTATATAAGGGACTTGAGCATCTGTGGACTTTGGTATCCTGAAGCCAATCCCTTATAGATCACCTGTTCCGGTTTATAACTAGATGTCCTTCCAAAGTCTCACACACTCATAGGTAGGATTCATGGTAGGTGGTGGTGTGGATTATGGATGTGCAATTACTGATTTAGCCCACTGTTTGGATTAGATGTGGCTAATTCTGGATGTGGTGGCA